GCACAGGGTTTCCAAGGCTGCAAATCTTTACAGGAGCAGAAAGCCTCATCTTTCTCCTGTGGAACAGCTGGTAGTTTCAAACTGCCAAGCTTGAGGTTAGCAGCCCAATTCATAACCACTACGTTACCAGAGCTCTTTTGTGTTATATACAGTTATGGTTAATTTTTATTGGTTTTGCATTTAAATAATAACAAAGTTTTCTGTTTAAGTACATTTAGCTAAACTTAAAAAGTGGATCCACTGAAGAGAAATTTCACTGCTGTTGAGTCCTGACTTGAGACCCTATAGGACAGGATAGAACTTCCCCATAAGATTGCCAAGGCTGTAATTTGGGGGACCACTCGTCTGTCAGTTTGCTGTACTGTGGTGGCTCACATGTTGCTGTGATGCTGTGAGCTATGCCACTGACATTTTAAACATCAACAGGGTCACCCACGGTAGACAAGTTTCAGCTGAGCTTCCAGACGAAGACAGACTATGAAGAAAGTAAGACTGACTACTTTGGAATGTTTAGCCACTGAAACCTTCATGAATAGCAGTGGAACATTGTTAGACATAGTGCCAGAAGAAAAAACATTATGAAGAGCACCAGAATATTGTCATAGTGCTGGAAGATGAGTCCCTCAGGATGGAAGACACTCAAACTATGACTGGGGAGAGCTACTTCTTCAAAATAGAGTTGACTGTGATGATGCGAATGGAGCAAAGCTTTTGGGACCTTCATTTGCTGATGGGGCACAACTCAAAGTGAGGAGAAACAGCTACAACATTCATTAATAATCGGAACATGGAACGTAAGCTATATGAATCATTACAACTGAAAACTGTCAAAAATGAGATGTAATGCATAAAGATCAATATCCTAGGCATTAGTGAGTTAAAATGGGCTGGTATTGGCCATTTTGAATCTGACAATCATATTGTTCACTATTCCAGGCACTACAATTTCAAGAGGAATGGTGCAGCATTCATCACCAAAATGAACATTTCAAGATCTATAGTGAAGTACGATGCTGTCTGTGATAGGAAAATGTCCATACACCTCCAAGAAAGACCAGTTAATACCACTGTTATTGAAATTTAAAACCAGTGATGATGCGATTGAAGAATTATACAACTTCTTCAATCTGGAACTTGATCAAAATGGATTCAAGATCTATTGATAATTACTGGTGATTGCAATGCAAAGGTTGGAAACAAAGAGGAAGGGTCAGTATTTGGAAAATATGGCCTTGGTGATAAAAATGATACTGTAGAGTTCATAGGTCTTTTGCAAGGCAATAATTTATTCATTGCAAAAACAATGTAAAAGATGACTGTATACATGGACTTCATCAGATGGAATGCAAAGAAATCAAAATGACTACATCTGTGGAAAGAGACAGTGGAAAAGCTCAGTATCATCAGACAAAACAAGGCCAGGGGCAGACTGTGGAACAGACCATCAGTTTCTTATAAGCAAGTTTAGGATGAAGGTGAAGAAACTTGAAACAAGTCCATGAGAGCCAAAATATGATCTTGAACATATCCCACCTGAATTTAGAAATCATCTCAAGAACAGATCTCATGCATTAGACACTAATGACTGAAGAACAGAAGAATTGTAGGATGACATCAAGAACATCATACAGGAAAGAAGCAAAAGGTCATTAAGAAGACAAAATAGAAAGAAAAGGCCAAAATGAATGTCAGAAGAGACTCTGAAACTTGCTCTCCAGTGTAGAGGTGCTAAAGCAAATGGGAGAAATGAGGAGATAAAAGAGCTGAACAAAAAATTTCAAAGGGCAGTTCAAGAAGACAAAGTCCAGTATTATAATGAAATGTGCAAAGACCTTGAGTTAGAAAACCAAAAGGGAAGAACACACTCAACATTTCTCAAGATGAAAGAAATGAAGAAAAATATTCATTGCAATACTGAAAGATCCTATGGGCAAATATTGAATGATACAGAAAGCATCAAAAAGAATTGGAAGGAATACACAGAGTCGCTGTACTAAAAAGTAATGGTCAGTACTCAGCCATTTCAAGAAGCAGCATATGATTAAGGGTCAACGGTCCTGAAGGGAGAAATGCAAGCTGCACTGAAGGCATCGACAAAAACAAGACTCCTGAAATTGATGGACGACAAATGGAAATCTTAAAACAGACGGATGTAACTGGAAGCGCTTGCTCTTCTATAGCAAGAAATTTAGAAGACAGCTACCTGGCCAAATGATTGGAAGAGATCCACATTTATGCCCATTCCAAAGAAAGTTGACCCAACAGAATCTAGAAATCATTAATATCACAAGTAAAAGTTTGCTAAAGATAATTTAAAAACAGGTGCAAAAGTAATTTACAGAGAAATGCCAAAAACTCAAGCCAGATTCAGAAGTGCACGTGGAACAAGAGATAGCATTGCTGACATCAGATGGATTTGGGCTGAAAGCAGAGAATAACAGAAACATGTTTATCTGTGCTTTATTGACCACACAAAGGCTTTCAAGTGTGTCACTCATGACAGACTTTGAACAGCACTGCAAAGAATGGCTATTCCAGAACACTTACTTGTGCTTATGAAGAACCTGTACATAGACCAAGAGGTAGTTGTTTAAACACAACAAGGTGATGCTGAATAGTTTAAAATCAGGAAAGGTATGTGCCAGGGTTGTATTTTTTTTTTTTTACTATACATATTCAATCTGTATACTAAGCAAATAATCCAAGAAACTAGGCTAAATGAAGAACATGGTATCAGCATCAGAGGAAGAGTCATTAACAACCTGTGATATGCAGATGATACAACCTTGCTTGCTGAAAGTGAAGAGGACTTAAAATGTTTACTGATGAAGATCAAAGAGCACTGCCTTCAGTGTGGGTTGCACCGCAATGTAAAGAAAACATAAATCCTTATAACTGGACCAATAAATAACATTATGATAAATGGAGACAAGATTAAAGTTTCCAAATACTTCATTTTGCTTGGATCCATCACTCACAGAAGCAGCAGCCAAGAAATCAAACAACGTATTACATTAGGCAAATCTGTTGCACAAGACCTCTTTAAAGTGTTCAAGAACAAAGATGTCAGTTTGAGGTCTAAGGTGCGCCTGACCCAAGCCATATTCAATAGCCTCATGTGCACGTGAAAGTTGGACAATGAATAAGGAAGATTGTAGAAGAATTAATATACTTGAGTTAAGGTGTTGGGAAAGAATATTTTTGATAAAGCAAACGAATGTAAATTGCTACAATTTGATGAACTTGACCTATATTTATGGATGTAGTAGCTCAAAATACCAACTGACAGGGAAGGAGTCTTCACATAAAGTATCAATGCTATCCCCTCTGTATATAGGGTAGATAGGGATGGGCAACTTAGACATTGGCTACCTAAAATGAGGGGGTGATAAAGGCATGAAGTGACGGGCTTACAAGGTTTCAAGAGGGAGTTTAGTTTAAGAGTGTGCAGAGGAAGATAGAGTCCCCACTGAATAGTTTTCATCTTGTCTAGACAGTTCTGGGGAAAAGAGATGGGGATAAGAGTCTTATTTTTAAAAAAGTACATGGACTCCAAGAACAAACAAATGTGTTGGAAAAAGTACAGCTGGAATGATCCTGAGAAGTCAGGATGGCAAGACTTCGTCTCTCATACTTGGGACATGTTATCAGGAGGGACCAGTTCCTGGAGAAGGACATCATGCTTGGTAATGTGTGTGGTGGTGGTGGTGTGTCAGCAAAAAAGAGGAAGACCCCCAAGAAGATGGATTGACACAGTGGCAGCAGCAATGGGCTGAAGCGTGACAACAATTATGAGGGTGGTAAAGGACCAGGCAGGGTTTCATTCGGTTGTACACAGGGTCTCCATGAGTTGGAACTGACAGGAAGGCACTAACAACAACAATGTTTATGGGGACAGATCACGAGGTCTTTCTCCCATGGAGCAGTTGGTAGGTTCAAACTGTTGATCTTGCAATTAGCAACTAAGTACTTAACCACTGTGCCGCTGGGACTCCGTAAAGAAAAATAGTAAGCAAATAAAAGTAGAAGTGGTATAGTATATAGTAGGGCTTGAGGACTGCTAGGTGGTGAGGTGGGAGTTGGGGATTCCTTTGGAATGAGTTGATCTGGGCTTTTCCTCTGGAAGGCTGAGCCTGGAGTGTCACATCTCATCATAGGGAGGAGCTATGTGCCACCACCTTCCCCCCTCCCATTCTATGCCCTTCCGTGCCAGAAAGAGCAGAGAAGAACCAGATGGGTCTTCTTCCCATGAAATGTTCAGTTCTACCTGCTGGGACTAATATTGGACAATGTCATCCAAAAAGAAGAAACAAGCAAACAAATGAAAAGGGGAAATGGGCAGAAAGTGACAAGTACCAGCCCAGAGTCACCAGTGTGCCCCTGAGTGCTTAGTCGTTAGAGGGCAGGCAGCAGGAATCTCAAGGCCACTGCAGGGATCTTGTCACAGTCAACCAGATCCAGACTGACACTCCATCTGCACTGATCCCTAAGGACGCCTCTCCTCCTGGTTTACCTGTGTGCACCTGGGGATCTCTCCTTTCCTGAAATGGCATTGACGGAGCAGATAACAACAGTTCTCAAAATATCCAGCTCCCAGCAAACTCTCAAGATCAGTAGATTGTCTGCCTTAATCCCTCACATTTCTATTCTGCTCCTTTCTCTCTCTGTTTCCCACCGCCCCGTGCTTCTAGGCCTGGAGATACTAACAACTTGTTTAGACTACAGTGTGAGAGAATACCTATATAAAAATTGATGACCTGCTGGAAGCAGTGCACAACTCTAAGGAATAAATTGCTAATAGTGGACTTTCAGGCACGGGGAGACTAAAATCACTGCATTGTCACATCAAAGCAGGATGAAGACATTGATCACCAGGACACCAATGTTGGTCTTCCCTGAGACAGCATTTCAGCCACAGCACCCACTCAGGAAGTCAGCCACAAGCCATGCAGAAGCAACACACCACACACAGGCATGAGGGGCAGGCAACTTCACACTACCTAGGCGACGGATGGAGCTCCTGGTTTCCTTGGCGAAGCTGGAATTGGACAAGGTTGTCCTCCGGGAGATGAGGATAGGGATGCGGGTGGTTGGGGGGCGGTAGCTGGGCACATTGGGGAGATGCTCCACCAGGATTGCAGGGACAGGCCCAGTGGCCACCTGGCCAGGTGGCTGATCCTGGACCAGGCGATTCAGTTCCATGTCCCGGCCTGGTTTAGCCATGGTGCTGGGCCAGCTAAGGCGAGCCCCTGGGGACTGCAAGGAGAAGCACAGAGTTGGGGGAGCGAGGAAGGAGGGGCCTCTCTCCACAGCATCGACACAGACAGCCTGGCGAGCCGGAAGCAGCTCCACCAAGGTCTGAAACATCACTCTTCTCCCTGGAGCTCAATGTGATCCCTTATGGCTACTCCACCCAACAGCCCAGAGACCCCCAACTTCTCCCTCTCTCGCTGTTAACCAACCACCTGAAACATTTCCTATCTCAGTCAGAAAACAAGTTCAAATTAAAGAAGCCAGAACTCCTAGAATCTTAGTCTCTTGGACCCACAGAACCTGGTACTCACACATTCTTAGTCTGGTAGAACATTCTGTCCCCTCCCAAAGAGGTCCTGGAGGTCAACTGATTCCACTTCCACCTGGAAGCAGTGACTTTTCCCAGGGCCTTGTTTCTCAAACTGGGTTACACACTGGAATCACCCAGGAAGAGTTAACAATTTCTTATTCCCAGGCCCATCCCCAGAGATTCTGATTTCATAGTCTGGGGTGAGACCTAGCTCCAAGTATTTTAAATCTCCTCAAATAATTCCAACATGCAGTCAAGTTTGAGAACAGGGCTCCAGGTCAGTGCCTCTCAAATGCTCCTATGCAGACAAATCGCCAAGAGACACTGGAATACAGATTACGACTTGGCAGGTCTGGGGTGAGGCCTTAGAGTCTGCATTTCTAACCAGCTCCCAGGTGATCACAACTGGACAAGCCACCTTGTTTCCCAAAGTGGGGTTTCCAGATCACCTGCCTCTAGATCACCTGGGGAAGGCATGGAAAGCTGGAGGTTGCCCCTACCCCCCCCCCCACCCCACCCCTATGCCCAGACCTTGGTGATCTGATGCCGCTAAATCTCGAGAAGCCCTGCTCTACCTCATCACTGTCAGGATCTTGGGTCTCTCACCACCTCCTGAAGCTGCCTCTCCATTCATTCATTAGACACACGGAGACTGAGCACCATGGTGAATGTGGCCTGGAGAATGGCACCCTGGACAATGGCTAATATCAGCTAAAGGAGACTGGCCCCACCGTCTGTCATCAAGTTGATTCCCACTCATAGAGACCCGATACGGCCAAGTAGAACTACTCCTTAGCGTTTCCAAGAGTGTAAAGCTTTACAAGAGCAGATAACCTCATCTTCTCCCAAGGAGTGGCTGTTGGTGGGAGTTATGTGCCGTGGAGTCAATTCCAACTCATAGCGACCCTGTAACAGGGTTTCTGAGGCTGTAAATCTTTACGGGAGCAGAAAGCCTCATCTTCCTCCTGTGGAATGGCTGGTAGTCTCGAACTGCTGACCTTGAGGTTAGCAGCCCGACTCATAACCACTATGCTACCAGAGCTCCGTAGGAGTGACTGGTGGGTTTGAACTGCCAAGCTTGTGATTAATAGTCTAATTTATCCTACAACACCACATCAGGACTCCAAAAGGTTGGAGGTTGAATTAATTAACCACCTATGTGTTTTTGGAAAAAGCATCCTGGTAATGTGGTGGTAAAAGAGCTCAGATGTGAACCCCAAGGTCAGCTGTTCAAACATACCAGTCACCCCACAGGAGAAGGGTGTGGCAGTCTGCTTCCATAAAGATTGTTGTTGTTAAGTGCCCTTGAATCAGTTCCGACTCATAGCAACCCAATATAGGGTTTCTAAGGAGCATATGGTGAGTTTGAACTGCCAGTCTTTCAGTTCAAACTGACTTTGAGGTCGAGTGCTTATCCTATGGCGCCACACCAGGACTCCTCCATAAAGATTGTTGTTGTTGTTGTTGTTAGGTGCCATCGAGTCGGTACTGACCCATAGCGACCTTATGCACAGAAGAACGAAACACTGAACGATCCTGGGCCAACCTCACTACTGTGGCCACGCTTGAGTCCATTGATGCTGCCACTTGGCCAATCCATCTTGCTGGGAGACTACAACCTTGGAAATCCTAGGCGGATTCCGAGGAGCCTCTGGTGAGTTTGAATGGCTTGAAAATCCAGTGGGACCATTCTCCTCTGCCCTACTGGGTCCCTATGAGTCAGAATGATTTACTAACAATGGGATTGGTGCTTTGGAATTCTCTCAAAGGAGAGAGCTGGCCACCCCCACCAAAGTAAAGTTTTCTTCAGGACAGGGTGGCCCCAGGCAGGCACTCATAAAAGTCTAGTTAATGGGGGTGCTCCGCGGGTATTAGGCAGAAGAGCTCCACAAAGTGGGCCTCACTGGGGGTGGGGTGTCCTACATGCTCCACACCGTAGCGCACCAGGCTCTGCAGGGACTTGAATGGAGTTTGTTCCACCTCCAGGGTGGGTGGACCCTTCACTGTCTGGCTTTCCCTCAGTGCTGATCAGATGGCAGGAGTGTGGAAACTCTAGGTCTTGATAGGGGAAAGCCATCCTGGGAGAGTACCTGCTTTGTGATTCCCAAAGGAGCACCAAGATGCCACCACACACCCACCAATGACTGTTTTCTCTAAGACTGGCCAGTGACATGGTAAATCATGAACACAGAGACCCTGACCCCAGGGCAAACCAGAGGGGGCTCTGAGCTCTCTCTCAGCTTGTCTGTGGCAGGAGTTGTGGCCGCCTTCTCTGCCTATGACAGTTAGCTTGATGGCTGGCAGGGACCCAAAATCCCCTCCCTCAGTGCCAGCCCCAGTGCAGGCACCTTTTCCAGCTCACATCCCCCTGTTTTCCTTGATTTTGGAGTATGATTCAGCGACATCAAGGGACTGGGTCTGGGTCAAACAGAGAGGAACAGGGAGGAACCAGGAGTGAACTGCAGGTTCGTTCCCTTACCCTCCGGGCCCAACGGGTCACCCTCTGAGCCTCATTCCTGGATCTGTAGATCATCTGTCTCCCAGGAGTACCAGCAATTGAAGGAAACCTGGCACACATCCATGCAAGGCACACATCCCAGCAGCCCAGGGCACCACACTCAGCTATCTCGTGGCCCCCACCATTCCTGGACTTCTTAAGACTGAGGGTCAGGGAGTAAATAATGGCAGGTTGCATGTCCTGGGTACAGTGTGGACATCTTAGCTGGAGAAACCACTTGTAAAGAAAAGGAGAGTGCTTAGTAAGGGAAGTTAGGTTGTCAAAATCTTGCAAGCAGGAGCCAGCAGAGCTGCAGTCTGCCGGGAGAAGGCGCAGGAGGGGCCTGGGAGTCCCAGACCTCACTGCTGTTCTCCTTGGGCCTTTGAAATACATCATCAGACTCAAGATACAGGAGCTGGGCTCTGTGAGGACCTATGAAATGATGGGTGGGAAGGGCTGGGTGGAAGATGGAGGAGAGGGGAGAGTTACTTCTGGTCTAAGGGTATCACGAGTTACTATTCAACCCCCCACTCCCACCCTCACCCCATCACACACACCTACCTCCTGAGTGGGAGGCAGTCTCCTTCTGCAGCTCCTACAAAAAATAAAAGGGAAACATCATCCCCTCCCAGTCCTAGTCTAGGAAATCTACCCTCAGGAGACCCTTGCCCTGAGTGCCCGGTCAGAGTCTTCTGTCTTCTCCTGGGGCATCCAGGGAGGTCATCTACCACCTACAGAGGGTACTGCACACAGGAGCCCCAGACCCCAACACCTGGATTGTCAGGTATAAGGTGGGACTCCCCATACAACCTGTGCAGGTAGGGACAAAGCAACTAAAGCAGCCAGCCCAGTATTCCTCACCAGGCACCGCACTTCACAGTGTGCAAGCCCTTTGGATCCTCCTCCAAACCCTGGGAAGTGGTTTTAGTCTCATTCTACCAAGGTGACCACTGAGGCCCAGAATAAGGAGGCGACTAGCCCAGAGTTACACAGCTATGTGAGGACTCCAGCCCCGGTCCTTCCAACTCCTACCCAACGTCCTGCTACCGGAGTCCTTCTGGTACCACCTGGCCCCTGGTATAAGGGGGTCTTGTGAGATCACCATCCCCACACCTCCCTGTCTTGTGGCATCTCATCAGATGAAAATCCCCCCATAGCAAATGGGACAGGGCCTCAGTCCTTCTGCTGAAACCAGCCCAGGCTTCAGGTCTGTGGGGTGGAAAGGGCTTTTCTGTACCTGGTGTGAGGCCCTCAGGTGCGTCCAGCTTACTCCGCTTGTGTTCGCGCCTGCCTCCTCCACTAGGCAGTTATCCAGCAGGGCAAAGACACTGGGACCCCAGAAGTAGGAAGAAAGCTTAAAGTTAGGGTGGCAAAGGCCTCCTGAGCTTTCTAAGTGCCAGGCTTTGTATTTCAGACAGGGAGGGATGCCCAGGAAGGCTATCAGCCTCCTGCCAACCTGCTAACCACCACCCAGACTGGAACAAAGCTTAAAAGGCTCAACCACAATCCCACCTAGGAAGGAGGGCTTCCCAGAGGAGTGGCTAGTAAGCTGGGCCTTTAAGGTGATAAGTCTGCCACAGGGAATTGGGGCGGCAGTGGGGAAAGGGGTCCAAGAGGGAGAACAGATGTACGAAGAGCAGGGTGGAGGAACATCCTGGGTGTGGCCTAAAGGTGGACAGTGGGTCCAGCATTTCCCTGCTGAGAGTCTCCAGCAACACTGGTGAGGAGGGCAGGGCTGGGAGTATGAGACAAGTGAGACCCAGAGGGGTGACCAGGCCAAAAACATGCAACAAATCATCCCAAACCACCCAAAACACACGTCAGCTCCTGCCACTTTCCACGCTGTGAGATCAGCGCTACAGAGCAAATGCTGAGGGCCTCAGGCACCCCTGCCTGAGTGAGGGGCAATGGATGATGTCCTGGGTGGGAGTGAAGCAGAAAACCTGTGTCCATCTGCTTGGAATGGACCCAGAGTGGCCAGAGGAGCCTGACAGGGTTTTAAACGAAATCTCCTTATTTTTGTTGTTGTTGTTGTTAAGTGCCGTCAAGTCGGTTCCAACCCATAGCGACCCTGAACAGGGTTTCCGAGGCTGTAAATCTTTACAGGAGCAGAAAGCCTCATCTTTCTCCCGCGGAGCAGCTGGTAGTTTTGAACTGCTGACCTTGCAGTTTGCAGCCTGATTTGTAACCACTACGCTACCGGAGCTCCTTTCCTTATCTTTAGATGCTGGTAATTAATTCAAATTGGAATACATATACATGCCCATGTGTGCAAACACATGTGTAATCTCTAAAAGAGCCTATCTTGGGGTTAATTTGGGTCCTTGGATGCCCATGTGGGACCAGTAATTCTGACAATTACTAAGAACCAGGGGCTAATGCGATTCCTGTGTTGTTCTTAAGTGCCATCAAGTTGGTTCTGACTTATAGTGGCTCTATATAGGGTTTCCAAGGAGCTGCTGGTAGATTTGAACCACCGACTCTTCAGTTAGCAGTCCAGTGTTTATCCTCCAGCACCACACTAAGACTTCTGTTGTTGTTAAGTGCCGTCGAGTCGATTCTAACCCATAGCGACCCTGTGTAGGGTTTCTGAGGAGCAGCCGGTGAGCTTGAACCACCAACCTTGCAGTTCAAATGGATTTGCAGTCTGGCGCATTAACCCACAGCGCCACACCAGGACTTCTGTAGTTAGAGTTAAATCCAGTTTCCTGGAGGTCCCTGTCTATGAGGGGCTCATAAAGGATATGTCATGGTGTGTCTGCAGCCCAGTAAACTTTCCATTCATTACAGCAGGGCTGGGGTCAGGGGATGGCAGCCTCAGACTGTTTGGAGCCAGCAGACTGGGCATCAGGAAGCAGTGATAATCACGTGCCATAGCTGCACCCATGGTGGTATGCCAGGCACTGGAACGGGTACTTTGCCTGAAGTTCTTCCCCGACCCCCTGAATCATCACCCAAATATCCCTGCAAGCTTGGTGTAACCAGTCCCATTCCAGCTTAGAAAACAGTCCCAGAGAGGTCAGATGGCCTGCTCCCATCACACTGCCTGTACGAGGTGCAGCCTAGCTAGGACTCTGGTGTGTCTGGCCCCACGGTAGTGCTCTTGGTTTAAGCTGCACTTTGGAGGTTTAGTTCTTGTTGGTATGAGATGGAATTGACTTGCCCACAGTGGGTTTGGTATTGGTGTTTTGGTTCTTATTGTTAGCTGCCATCAAGCCAGCTCCCATGTCATGACGACCCCATAAACAACAGGATGGGACAACTGTGACCCATAGGATTTTCATTTCCTGATTTTTCAGAAGTAGCTCATCAGGCCTTTCTTCCTACTCTGTCCTAGTCTGGAAGCATCACAGCACCAGCAAGCCTGCACTAAGCATGGCCTTCCAAGTCTTCCCCTCCACACCTGCATCTGAGTGTCCACCCGGCCTCACATGACAAGGAACAGGAAGGCAGGTGTCTGGGTGACCCAAGCACCCAACTCACTTTCCTCCTCTCTGCTATTTAGACATTTCCATTGTGAGGGGCCCAAATCCTCAGAGCAAGACTCCCCACCCTGCCCAGAAAGAAAGTTATTTTCTTAAATAAATCCAAGTGACCAAAGCAGGGTATACAATGACTTCCATGAGCCCTGGATGCTGCAGATTTCCAGGGCCCTTCCATCTTACAAAAGTTAAAAGTGAAAAATGTTTATTTTGTAACTGCATTCATATGAAGATTAATATATTCATATTGTATAGTATTAAAGGAGTCCTGGTGTGGCACTCTAGGATAAACTTGCTAACCACAAGTTCTGCTAACCACAAGGTCAGTGGTTCAAACCCACCAACTACACCTCGGAAACCCTATTCTGGGTTACTATGAGTCAGAACCGAATTGATGGCACTTAATAACAACAATGTGTTAAAACTTTCTCTTCAATCTAAAAACATTTTTTCTTCTAATTTTAAAAGAAATGAAAGCATTTTTGTGGGCTCCAATATCGAGAAGTCCCTGTTAATGGAAATAGTTAATGTGCTCAGCTGCTAACTGAGGTTCAAATTTACATAGAGGCACCCAGGAATAAACGTCAGGCACGAACTTCCAAATCTCAGTCATTGAAAACTCAGTGGAGGCTACTCCATGATTCAAAGTTGACTCTCCACCAATAGGCTAAGAGTATCAGGGTTCTCGTGCCAAAAGGATAAGTGGGTTTGCACAGAGGGGCTAGGGGCTAAAGATGGGCTATCTGCTGTGTGGGGGATGGGGGTGGGGAGATGCTGTGCTGATTCTCCCTCCCCAACACAGATGCAAACCCTCCTCAGTTCTCAGGGTCTGGAGTGCAAGGCCCCAGAAACAATTGGTCACAGGCCCATCCAGAGGCTTCCTGAGGTTCTGTTCAGTTAGGGCCCATGGGCCTTGAAATCACTGCCTGGCTTGGGCAAGTCACCAGGAGGCCCTTGGGCTGCCTCTGTTTGCTCATCTGTTAAATGGGACAAGAATTGCTGAGCCCGAACAGCCTGACATATTCTAAGAGCTCGAAAGACGAATGAGATATTCATAGAAATATTAAAAAGGACTGTCCACATCAAGTGTCATTCTCTTGACTTCTCTGTCTCGGGAAATGGTAAGCAGCTTTTCTTGTCTGCTTTGGAATGGCCCGACTTGGGATAGAATATCGGCTCTGCACTTCTTGGTAGGGTGCTTTTCAACATGAAGAGTACTGTCTCTTAGCCTCAGTTCTCTCATCTGTGAAATGGAGTTACTAATAATATCTGACGCACAAGGTGCCCTTAGCACGGTGTCTGGCATGGGGACAAACTAACAATAATCAAATGGCAGCAGTTAACTCAGTAAACTATTATCATTGTTCTTCCTATTGTTATTATTAATCCCACAGGAATGGAATATCTGCTGGGTTGTGAAATCACCCACGTAGGTTGGGGAACATTGGCACAAACATCCCCAGCTATCAATCAGAACCCCTAAGGAGCCTGGCAGTGACCCCATCAGCATGCCAGGGGCTGTGTGGAGGCCTGGCACCAAAGCCACATTGTCCCTGCTCCATGACATGCCCAGTGCCTGCCAAGACCCCCTCCAGCCCATCCCAGAAGCAGGAGGCCAGCACCTTCTGGAAAGCTCCCAAATCCCAAGTATTTCCAAGCAGAGGAGTAGACAGAGGCTGGCCAAGGTAGGCATCCCAGAGTCTCCCTGGCTGGCCAAGTTTAAGGCCTTGCAAGTTTAAGTCTCCCTGGCTGGCCAAGTTTAAGGTATGCTGGCAATCAGCTTGTGAGCTTGGACGAGCCCGCTCTGCCTCCCCAAGATACTCAGCAGACTGTGCCCCTAAGTGAAAGTCCTCACCATCGCCTTCGCAGACTCTTCCCCCATATCCTAAGAAGGAAGAGGGAAGGGGGTCCCCTAGGGAGAAGCAGGTACCTACTTGGGTCTCGCTGTCTTTGTTGACGAGGATGCCCATGGTGCCGGCATTCAGCTGGGGGCCATGCCACTCATCCCAGTCCCAGGGCAGTGCATGTTAGTGGGGGATTTGGAACACCCCAGGCAGCCACGTGCCTGTGGGGCCAGCTCTGGAGCCAGAGCCAGAGCCCGTCTGGCTGGTGGCAGATTAGCCAGCAGTCCTTCCTGCCTCTAATCATATCGAGGGGATGTGCAGGGAACTCTGCAGAAATGCCCCCAGGGAGGCCAGGTGGGGACCAAAAGGAGGTAGTTGCTAGGAAAAGCCGAGCTGTTGCCCACAGAGACCGGGTCGCTAGGCGACCAGCTGCCTGTTTCCAGGGCCCTCACGTCATCAGTAACCCCTGTGCCTCTGCAAAGCTGGCCCAGAGCAGGCCTCCCCAGCCTGTGACAGCTCAGTTCCACCTGCCCTGGGCCTCCCCATGTCACCACGGGTGCCCTCTTTCCAACCTGAGGACAGGGATCCAAAAGTTCCGAGAGTGAAAAACTCTGGGGGATGAACCTTAGACTTGAAACCTAAAATATCCCCTAAAGTCTTCTTAAAATCAAACAATAGTTTAGTTCAACTAGTAAGGAACATCTGCCTTGAGCATTGTGCTATTTTAACAACTATGTATATAGGATCAAATTGACAAGAGCAACTGGAAAGACAGCAGCTGGAAACTTAGAGGGCAATGAGTTTACAATAACGGGGGAGGAGCAACTCAGAAAAGGAGGATGAGAATAATGGTACAACTTGAAGAATGTGATCGATGTCACTGAATTTTGGGAAGTATTGACTTGGTATATGTTCTGCTGTGTATATTCTCAATAACAACAACAAAAAGACAACACATTCTTTTCTAAAATGTCTGGGGAAACATTTGTGTGAACATGGGGGTGCCTGCAGTATGTGTAGTTAATTCCACATGCCTGTACTTGTATGTGTGGCTATGTGTGCAATAGTATAGTGTGGCTATGTGCAAGCATACACTTGTGTGCCTGTGTGTATGAGATTATAATAATACATGTCTGTGGTGTGTCTCTGCTGGATGTGTGTAGGTATATCTGTGTGCAGACCAGTACAGGTGTGTATGCCTAACCTGGTATGTGTGTCTGTGTCGATGTGCTGCTGCATATGTGTACAGCACAGATATGCATGTGTATTGTGTATTGCACACATGTGCATAGTTAGTGCATGTGCACCTGTGTGAGTATATTTAAGTCCTGGCCTTCATGGTGACTGAATTCAAGGCACTGGTCAAGAATGAGTTTCCAGGCGTATGTGTTGGGGAAACAGGGCTAGTTGAAGAAGGGACTCATAGCTAGGCAGTGGGAAGCCGAGTTGTTCCTCCCCTATTAATGTAAACTCATTGCCCTCTAAGTTTCCACCTGCCATCTTTCCAGTTGCTCTTGTCAAGGTGCACTAATGATGCTAGACAGTACCTAGTATGGAGAGCAGGAGGGCTCTGGTATGGAGAGCAACCTTGTGTGGGTGGGGGGTTGGTGCCCAGAGAGCAGAATTAGGGCTGGGTTATAAAAGTCATAGGGAAGCAAGCTTAGTTTGGATGTGAGAAACAACTTTGTAAGTCAGATGGATGGATTATACATGGATGGAATGAACGCCCTTTAATAGATCATGAGCTCCCCATCACTGGAGGTAAGCAAGTAAAGACTGTGAGGTCTCTTGCCAAAAATGGAAATACTACATGTGAATCAGACAACGGTGGACTACAGGAGGTGACACTGAGCAGGGCCCAGCTCTAAGACCCTGTGTTGATCTCTAATGGTCTCACCATTTCCTGACTAGGGCTAAAAGTAACCCTCTGTGGGACTGAGGACACCAGAGAGACCACCACCAACAAGGTCCTACCACAGTCATTATCACAAGACAACCTTTATGACCACACTCCAGGGGGGGCTCTTATCCCCATTTACCTATGCTGGGGGTGGGGAGCTCAGGTCACTCAGATAAGAAGCACAAAGCTGGGTTTCTGATGCCAACATCCAAGCTCCTAAGACTTGGGGAGAAAGAATGTGGTGCCAAGGTACCATGTGGGCAGATGGTACCTTGGGATAATGTAGGGACAAGGGATAATGTAACGGGTAGTACGAGGAGCTAGGTTGCATGACCCGTGGTAACATCTTCCTCACTGCTCTCCCTGCCTCAATCTCTACCCAACTCAGCTGTTAGATTGTGTCACTCCTCTGCTAACAGACCTTCAATGGCTCCCCATTGCTTCTAATAAATGAAGTTCACAGACTTCACAGTCTGGTCTCCCTGCTTCTAGAGCAGCATCGCCCACCATCCCCACCAATCACTGTTGTCTGACACAGTGAACCTTCCCCTTGTCCTTAAAACACTCTCTAATGTGTCTCCAGAGCCCTGCAATCTCCTCATCTCCCCAATAGCCAACCAGTAGCTCCTCCTCTGATTTTCACTGATTCATCCTCAAAGTCTGACCTCTAGTCTGATGTTGGCTTCTCCTCCACCCACACTCCCTCCCTAGGAAATCTCCTCCAGTTCATTTACAGAACTGAACTTGTGAAGTTTATTTCTTCAGTCCAGGATTCCTGGTGTGGCGCTGTAGGATAAGCACTGGACTGTGAACCACAATGTGTGTACAGCAAACCCTCCAGCTACTCCTCGGTAACCCTGTATAGGGTCACTGTAATAGGATAATATCCACACGCCTACAAGGAAGACCTATTAATACTACTATTATTCAGATTTAAAGCCAATTTCAGTCTGAAATTGATCAAACATGTAATCAAGACATAATGATAATTATTGGTGATTAGAATACAAAAGCTGGAAACAAAGAGTAAGGGTCAAAAGTTGGAAAATATGGCCCTGGTGATAGAAATGATGCTACACACATGGACTTCACCAAATGGAATACACAGAAATCAAATTGACTACATCTGTGGGAAGAGATGGTGGAGACACTTCATAACATCAGTCAGAACAAGGCCAGGGGCAGACTGTGCAACAGACCATCAGTTGCAGATATGCAAGTTCAGGTTGAAGCAAATTGAAACAAATCCACAAAAGCCAAATTATGACCTTGAACATATCCCACCTGAACATATCTGTTCTTGACTATCTCAAGAACAGATTTGATGCATTAGACACTAACAACCGAAGACCAGAAGAGTTGTGGGATGACATCAAGAGCATCATACAGGAAGAAAGCAAAAGGTCATTAAGAAGACAAGAAAAAAGAAAAAGACCAAAATGAATGTCAGAAGAGACTCTGATACTTGCTCTCCAGCATAGAGATGCTTAAGCAAATGGAGGAAATGAGGGGGTAAAAAAGCTGAGCAGAAAATGTCAAAGGGCAGTTCAAGAAAACAAAGTCAAGTATTATAATGAAATATGCAAAGACCTGGATGAGAAAACCAAACGGGAAGAACATGCTTAGTATTTCTCAAGCTGAAAGAACTGAAGAAAAAATTCTAGCTTTGAATTGCAATATTGAGGGATTCTCTATGCAAAATATTGAGTGTTGCAGAAATGTGCCCTTTGGTTGTTTAAATAATTATATTCCTGAGTGTTTTGTGTACACCTCCCCAAAACAAAACAAAATAGAGGGAATAGAAGCAAATACTGTTGAGTGATGATGCATGGAGGGGATTGTAATCATTGCAATGAAACAAGAATGTAAAACCAATGGTCTCCCATGTAAACTATCATTTAATTCACAATGAAAACTTAAAAGCAAAACCAAAAACAGACTATGGCTGTCAGCTACAGAAATCCCTCTCATGGACCAATTTTCAGCCAAGTGATATACAGTTATATAGGGGAAACAACACCTGGAAACGTGTGCTCACCATGGAAAGGTCAACCATTCAAGATCAAAAGGGCAACATTGAACTAAAGACAATGTTCAAAAGGGTTGGAAAGGAGGATGGAATGAAAATAAGACCACAGTCTTCAGTTGCACCTCAATGTAAAGAAAACAAAAATCCTCATCACTGAACCAATAAATTACATCATGATAAATGGAGAAAAGATTGAAGTTGTCAAAGACTTTGTTTTGCTTGGATCCACTATCAACAGACATGGAAGAAGCAGTCAAGAATCAAAGGATGTATTGTTTTACACAAATCTGCTGCACAAGACCTCTTTACAGTGTTCAAGAACTAAGATATCAGTTTGAGGACTAAGGTGCGCCTGACCCAATCCATGGTATTTTCAGTAGCCTCATATTCATGTGAAAGTTGGACAACGAATAAGGAAGACTGTAGAAGAATTGACATATTTGAGTTAGAGTGTTGGAGAAGAATATTAAAGGCACCATGGACTGCCAGAAGAACAAACAAATCTGTGTTGGAAGAAGGACAACCAGAATGCTCCTTAGAAGCCAAGATGGCCTCATACATTGTCTCTCATACTTCAGACATATTATTAGGAGGGAATTGTCCCTGGAAAAGGATACCATGCTACGTAAAGTGGAACGTCAGTGAAAAAAAAGGAAGACCCCTGACAAGATGGACTGGACAGTGGCAGCAGGAATGGGCTGAAGCTTAGCCTGGATTGTGATGATGACAGGACTGGGTAGTGTTTCAGTCTGTTGTGCATAATAAGGTCACTATGAGGGGAACTGACTCGACAGCACCTAACAACAACACTATACCCTCTTTGGGGATATGTTTCTAAATCCTTTGCCCATTTTTTCATTGGGTTGTTTGTCACTAGGGCTAGGGGGCATTACAGTGAACCCAATAGATAAGAGCTGCAGCCCTCATCAACTCAAAAGAGTTCTTAAATATATGTTGTATATTAAACCGTTTAAAAATAAAAAAGAAAGAATATAAGGGAATCAATAATACTAGGTAATACACCTTAAAATAGTCAACCATCTGAGACCTAAAGGGCAGAATTTACCCAAGGACCAAGTTCAGAAGGGCTAGGAAACATGAAAGGAAGTAGGATAAATGATGTTTGTTTATGCAAAAAAAAAACCCCACACCCACTGTTACTGAGTCCATTCTAACTCATAGAGACTCTGTATAGGGTTCACCAAAGTGTAAATCTTTACGGGAACAGACTCATCTTTCTCCCAAGGAGTAACTGGCCAGCCTTACAAGTGGTTAGTAGCCCAATGCCTGACCCACAGCACCACTAGGGCTCTTAGACAATATCAAAGGTAAACATGAAACTGACAATCCTATGCTATGACTTTGTTAATAGTAGAGAGCTGTGACCTTACTGCACATGGTCATTCATTCATTCATTCATTCAAACTTTGGTGCCTAAGTCCAGTCAGTCCTTGGACTGCAAAGTTGGTCTGCACTGAAAAGTCAGTGGTTCAAACTCACCAGCCACTATTCAGAAACCCTATACAGAGTTGCTATGAGTTATAACCAACTCGACAGCAACAATGATGCACACTAGGGCTTGGGGGGCATTACAGTGAACCCAACAGACAAGAGCTGCTGCCCTTGTGAGGATGCCTTCTAGTGTGTAGGGCGAGTGGGGAGGGAAGGGGGACAGGAGGGAGTGTTAAGTAGTGGGTGGTTGAATTCTGAGACATTCTAAACATCAGCAGGGAGACCCCACCCCAGCTTTCCCTGGCCTCTTTAGGTCAGTGTCTGGTGGCACACTACTAAAAACAAAGGGCAGGTGACCCCATGAGCAACAGAGAGCAAGGCCAGCCCCTCACTGGAACCCACCACCCTAGCATCCCTTCACCTGGTAGAGGCAAGATCAGGTGGACAAGTGCCTTACTCAGTCTCTTCCTCCTCCTCTTCATCTTCTTTCTCCTCTTGAATCTGGGGTAGCTCCCTGAGACAGAGTCAGAGGTAGGAGATAAATCCACCTGCAGCTGGCTTCCCAGCCCCCTCCGACCTTATTTTCTGCAGGATGTCCCATCTACAGAATGCCCCAACCCACTCTTGGGACCCCAACATAGGTTCAGACCTGGGATCTCTCTAGTAATGAGGCCTCGTCTTTCCCAGCCCCCATTTTCCGGGTGGAGAGTGGCCCGAAGCCAACCCCTAGGCCACTCTGGGCCTGGTTCTCCACCTATGCGATACAGGCCCTGGGCTTGTGAATGTCCCAGCCTCTGCTCCTCTCAGCGTGGGTAGTTATTACCCAACATCACACGGGAGTGAAAATTGTGGCATCCCTATGGAGAGCAATGTGGCCTTTACAACAGCACTTTCATACCCCCACCCCTGTGTCCCAACGATCCCACCCCTAGAAACTAGTCCTGTAACTGCACACATGCTCTTGTACAAATACACAGGAGGGTAAGTCGAAAGTTATTACTTCAAAATCACAGAAACCACCACATACCCTCCATCTAGATCTATATACTTCTGAAGGCCTTATTTGTGGTTCAAACCCACCAGCTGCTCCGTAGGAGAAAGGTGAGGCTTTCTGCTCCAGAAAAATATTTTAAACCTTGGAATCGAAACCGACTCCAAGGTACCGAGCAACAGGAAAAGCACTGGACTGCTAACCACAAGGTTGACAGTTCAAATCCACCAACCATTCCTTGGAAACCCTATACAGGGTTACTATGAGTCAGAACCACCTCAATGGCACTTAACAACAACCACAACCCTTCCCTGAAAACTTCTGCATTCATCAAAATACAAGTTCAAAACGTCAGTTTTGGCATCCTCAAAGAACTCAAGTCATGTTCCTTTGAAATGTTCTTTGAAGTTTGAAGGACCAAAATCAAGGCTAGCGGGTGGATAGAATAAGGTGTCCCAAAGAAATTCTCGTAGACAGCCTTTGCTACCCTTGAAGAATGAGCAGGTGCATTGTCTTGATGGAAAAAAATCCCTCAGAGCAAATTTCCTGGCCTTTTTCTCACCAAAACAGTTTTTGGCTTTCTTAAAACTTCTTCCTGATACACACCTGTGATCGCTCTGCATCCTTCAAGGAAAATCTATCAGGATTACACTTTGGGAATCTCAATAGACAGTGTCTATACCCTTCTGAAGGAACTCTGGTACGAATTGGGCTGCTAACCTCAGGGTCAGCAGTTCGAAACTACCAGCTGTTCCAAGGGGGAAAGATGAGTATTTCTGCTCCATTTAATATTTACAGCTTTGGAAACCCTGAACAGGGTTGCTATGAGTCAGAACCGACTCCACGGCACATAACAACACAATACACCCTTCTGAGGTGACCTCTCTGCCTTGAATTTAACTAGCCCAGCAGATCCACTTGGAGTCCTGGTGTGGTGCTACAGATTAATGCACTGGACTGCAAGGTCGGTTTGAACTGCAAGGTCAGTGGTTCAGGCTCACCAGTAGCTCAGAAGCCACTATTTTGATTAGACTTTGCTCTCTGGGTCAAATTGGTAAATCTAAGACTCCTCCTAGATTAAGATTCATTCCATTAAATAATTTTCATTAGCTTATTGCTATTAATGTTGCTGCTACTGTTGTTGTTAAGTATTGTCAAGTCAGTTCTGATGCATAGAGACCCTGTATAGGGTTTCCAAGGAGCATCTGGTGGCTTTGAACCACTGCTGACCTTGTGGTTTGCAGTCCAGTGCTGATCCTACAGCGCCACACCAAGACTGCTCATTAGCTCCTATCTTGCTTAGAAGATTAGCTCTTTGAGCTAGCTGATCTTCAGGGAAACCTTTAGGCATCCATTGAGCCAAAGCTTGCTGAGGCCAAGATGTTCACTTCAAATTGAAGGTGCAGGACCACGTGAGCGCCAGCTTCAGTAGCTAGTGCATCAGTGGCCATTCTGTGGTCTTCTTCTTCCTCCAGTTTCTGGACTTCAGCCACAGGGTTTCCATTCAGTGAGGCTGAAGGTCTTCCCTCTCTTCATTTCTGAGGTCTTCTTGGCCTTCCATAAAAACACTTGGTCCATCTAAAAACGATTGTTTAGTGTGGAGCAGCATTCCAGTAAACTTGTTGCAAAACTTCAATGATTTGGGAAGATGCCAACTTGAGTTTTGTTAAAAATTCGATCAATATTAGCCCTGACCTCAAAATTGGTTTCTTCCATGGCACAAAAATTATCTAATGAGACTAAGACGAGTATATTACTAAGACACCTGTTTTTGCATTCACGGATCATAGAAACATATTTAAATAAATTTTATTTGGAATAAACTCAGGCATATGTACTAGAACCCTAATGGTGATACTTTCTGACTCACCCTTGTACATCTTTGCTGCTAAATTGTTTCTAGCAACACTTTGGAATCAGCCTAAATGTTCCTCAGTAATGGACAGGTTAAATAAATATGGTCCTTTCATACAATCGAATACTATGCAGTTGTTTAGAAGTAGAGGCTGTTCTATAGGTACTGAATGTAGGGAAACACCAAGGTATATTGCTAAATGAATATAGCAAGGTGCAGAACTGTGTGTGGGATGCCCTAATTTTTGTATAAAAAAAGAGAAGGGGATCTGATCCCATCTATGCTAAGTACTAATCCATTATAGACAAATTCCTAGAGACCATACTTTAGAGATTACCAATGGCTGCATTAGTTCTGGTGTGACACTGTGGGTTAATACACTGGACTGCAAAGTTGGTTTGATCCAAAAGGTCGGCAGTTCAAGCTCACCAGTGCAATATGGCACTTCCTCAGAAGGTTGGAAATAGAAATACCTTATGATCCAGCAATTCCCCTACTTGGTATCTATCCACAAGAAATATGAGCCATAACACAATTAGAAATACACACACCAATGTTCACAGCAGCACTATTTACAATAGCAAAAAGATGGAGACAGTCTAAATGCCCATCAACGGAAGAATGGATAAACAAACTGTGGTACATACACACAATGGAATATTATGCTACCTTGAAGAACAACAAGGAAGCTGTAAGCTAACACATAACATGGATGAAACTTGAGGACATTATGTTTAGTGAAATTAGTCACAGAAGGAGAAATACTGCATAGGACCACTACTGTGAAAGACTAAGAAAAATAACCCCTACTAAAGGGGGGGAGGGGGATTCTTTGCTGGTTACCGGGATGTGGAGGGTAGGGTGAGGGAAGGGAGGGGAAGGTGGAGCACAGGGTAGGGAATAGACACAGGATAGTTTGGGTACTAGGGAGG